CTGGCTGCTGGCTACACACGGTAGCCCATGGCAACCCACTGCAGCAGGGGCTGCAGCCTACGCCCTCGCCAGTGACTCACGGCCACCCAGCTCCAGGTTGAGCTGTTGTTCAGCATCTTAGCTGTAGAGGGCAGTGTCACTGACCCTCGTATGTGGGATCCGAACCGGGGCCCTCTGGCGTCCCAAGCCAGCTCTTATAACCAACGCACCACTCGGCCAGCCCCAGACTAAACCAGGCACTGGTAGCTGGGGCACAGAAGAGGAGAAGCTGAACTCATGGGCGGGACTAGAAGGGGCAGAACCTCAAATACACCATGTTAAGGGTTCCTGCCACCTTTATCCTAAAAGCAATTGGTATGCACTAGAGAGTTTACACAAAAGGGTTAACATAATCAGCTTTTCTTCCCAATAACATCTCACCATCTGCAATGGGGCAAGAATGGACCCAGGGAGAAGAAACAAAGGCGGCTGCAGTCCCAGAGTATCAAGAAATGTGGATTTGATAAATGTTCCCCTTCTTTCTTGTGCAAACCTGTCCACAGCTGTGGGCTTCCCTCTGACCCACAGGAGCCCCCAAAAGCCACCACAATTCCAGGCAGGCAGTGTGTGCTGAAAAGGGCATGAAAGGGGACTTCCATGTTAGGTATAAAGTCAAAAGAATTATTTCAGTTGTGACTTGCTGGGGGGAAATTAAGACACCACCACCACTCATTGTTCCTTTTGTAAACCCCACCCCACCCCAAAAAAAGCATCTAGAAATTGAAAGTCAACCTCTGCCTTTTATTAAAATCATTGGAATGGACAGTAGAAAATCACCATTTGGCAACCTCCAATGTAATTGATTCAGGCAAGAACTACCAATGAATGCTAAAACTTGTGGTTGAAAGTTTAATAGCAGGATATTTACATTGTCTTCAATAATAAAAGAAAGGGGAGATGGTAGCTTCATGGAGGAGAAAGCTGGCAGACAATTAAGTGATTGTAGTTGCCCCTGAATTTTGTTGTTGTTGTTGTTGTTGTTGTTGTTGTTGTTGTTATAAGAAACATTACAGGAACAATTGGGTAAGACTTAAAAGGTTAATTTGATAATAGTATTGAATCAATATTAATTTTGATCATTGTACTGAGGTAATGTAAGAGAATGTCTCTGGTTGTAGGAAACACACACTGCATGAAATCTGTAAGGGTAAGGGGGCGTAATGTCTGGAACTTGCTCTCAAATGGTTCCGGGGAAAAACAGAGACAGAGAGAGAACAAAGCAGATGCAATGAATGTCAGGGAACTGGTAAATCTGGAGAAGGGTGTGCACATGAGGGTTCATTGTACTATCTGTGCAGCTTTCCTGGGAGTAAGACACCATGTCAACATAAAAGATTATAAAACTTTTGAAAAACCACTTAGGGCTTTTTGTTTTGCTTTCTTTTTCTTAGATTGTCTTTGGTCTGACATTTGTTGTATTTTGGTCCATGACCTAAAGAGAGAGAGATGTTTCATGGTTCATGAAGATCAACACCCAATACTCTATTTTTGTTTCCCATCAAGGAAGACTTGGGGAGATGCCACCACTATCCTCCTGGAGTCTTTCTTTAGCATGTCCCTTTAACGCAATCTCCCTCCATCTAACTACTTTCCAATTCATTAAAGCAGGAAACACAATGCAAATCCTGACTCCTGTGTTGTCACGGAAACCTGCTTTAATACATTACATGTAGGAGGAGGGGGTTGTGGTGAACTACAGATTTCACTTATGAACAACAGTGCAGAAACCCAGCATCAAGAATTTACAACAGAACCAGGCAGAAGATTAAAAGAACATAACACCAACACCAGGATCAGGTGAAACTCAGACCAGGAATGCAAAGATGGTTCAATTCCAAAACGTCAAGACATCTGAATCACTGTATTCATAGACTCGATGAAAGAAAGCTCATGGGCATCTTCATGCTACTAAAAATGTATTTATTGAATTTCATAACCATACAGAAATGAAACCGTAAGACTCCACAATATGGAAATTTTGTTTTATAATTTCAAAGTAGGGAATATCTCTTTAAGCAAGACACAATCCCAAATCTAAAAATAACACAGTTAGGGCCGGCTGAGTGGCGCGATGGTTAAGAACTCGCTTGGGATGCCAGAGGGCCCCAATTCGGATCCCACATATGAGGGCCAGTGACACTGCCCTCCGCAGCTGAGATGCTGAACGGCAGTTCAACCTGGAGCTGGGCTGCCATGAGTCGCCGGCGACGGCGTAGGCTGCAGTACCTGTGGCAGTGGGTTGCCATGGGCTACCGTGTGTGGCCAGCAGCCANCGGAATGGACTCGGCGCCCGGTAGAGGCCCAGGAGGGGTAGAGGAAGGCGGGGCAGAGAGAGGCACCGCCCCACCCGCCTGCCTCCCTCTCCTGGGCCCCGCCCTAGAGGCCCGGGCGCACCCTAGTTCAGGGGGCGCCCCAGACCCCTGCCTGAGCGCGACGTCTCAGAGCCTGGGGGCTCCCCAGATGCCTCACCCAGCCAGATGGATCCTGTCTTTAACATTTTGCTGTTTTGCTCCTTGCGGACTTTGGGGCATTCGTTTTCTTTTTTTTTTTTTTAATATTGCATTAAAACATTATTTATCTTGGTTACTTGGGTTTTTGGTACTCCCTTAAATGTTGCACTCGCCTCACCCTCCTCCCAGTCCGGCCAGCGAGCTTGGTCCTAGAGCGCCCTGCCCTCCAGACTCCCGCCCCTCACCCTCGTGTGCGCCCCCTGCCAGAGCCAGGCCCCTGGAGACAGACACGTGCACTCGCACTCCTGGTGCGCTCATTGTGCTTGGTGGCACTGGCCCCTAGGCGCGGCCTGTGTTTCAAGTTAGAGAGATGACACGAGGGACAATGTGCAGAACCTCCCCAAAGTGCAAAGCAGGGCCTAGACATCCTGGGTGCCAGGCAGGTGGACATATTCGATTTTCAATACACAGACCAGAGCTCCATATGTATCTGAATGTCTAGGCAATGTCATTCATGAATAAGGCATGACAATGATCATCCCACCTTGCTGAATGGGGGCAAGGCGCCTCAAGTACAGGAAAGCAGAACCGAGAGAGAATTTAGCCCCTAGTCTCTTCACGGGCAGCCTT